CCCCCCCCCCCCCCGCTCCCATTCATCCTAGAGTAGCAGTCTTGCCAAAACAAAACCGATTTGATTTTGTTATATTTTTGAGTGGCAATTCCCGGTTTCCCAAGTCTAGACTGAAATCCAGTCCCTTGGAAAACGATACCTTATTCTAGACTCAAGGTTCTCCCAGAGTAAACTGCTTGAAAACCATACCCTTCACTGCGTCACATAGCTATATTTCCCATATATGGCGGTATACCCCCTTTGGTCCTGACCCACCCTGATTCTTTAATCTGTTTCAAAAACACAATTTAGAAAATTTTACAACTAGCAAAATGGAATAAGATTTTTCGTGAAAAATAATTGTTGTTTTATGCACCACACATGCAAATAATCCATTTTCTCATTTCCTGCTGATCGTAGGGAAATTTGAATTTACTCTACCAGCCCCTATCTCCTTGTGAGAGGTCATGACCTATGGTATATTTTTGGAAGAAACAAGGCGGGACATTAACGACGCATCTTTTCAGGTTTGTAAAAATAGCATTTGATACGTTCAGTTTTTAGAACGTCGTTCGAAACGATATTCTCAAGGGTGAACTACTGAAGAACTATGCATAAAGTAAGCAATCACAACATTGACCCCAAAGCACAATTCTCTTTTCCATCGGGAATTCCCCTAACCATCCCTATGTGGTCCATAATGCGTGCATTAGACAGTCATCTCGCAATCAAGCTCAAACCTGTGCAACTGGTATAAGTCATAACATATAGTCATTGGTTTACTATATTGCTCATATATGTACAAGATTTCCAGGGCTCGATGTTAACTTTTTAGTGCACTTGTAAAGTTGTGCTAGTAAGATTTTTTTCCACTAGCAAATTCTCTCCTTTGTTCGGGAGACATAGATGATTCTAACTCACAAACGTTTGCTAGTGCATGTTTTTCTCACTCGCAGATTATCAAAACCACTCGCATTTTGCGAGTTTGCGAGCGTTAATTTCGAGCCCTGGTCACTTTTCGCTGAGTTTGTAACATCTCGCGTGAGAAGGAATTCGTGCGCCTTATTTGATATCTTACTTGCTCTCGAAGTTAAAAGAGGTCTTTCCTATATCCCCTCAGGGGTAATCTTAACCCTAAAAAATTAAATCAAGGACCGGACTCGATAAAAGGAACAGCTGGTTTTGCCTTACTTACTGAAAAAGCTAAAAATACACCCATTCGTAGATTAAGAAAGGGGCTGTGAAAGGCGATGCTCCAATTTCGGCACAAGAAAAACTGCTTTTTTAAGTCGATGCAAACTTGTGCCAGGTAACTTGTTTATTGGTAAAGGAAAAAAACCTACAATTCTTAAGAAAAGCTAAATAAACCGCTATCCGTAGATTAAAAATGAGGCTGTGAAAGGCGATGCTCTAATCTCGGCACAAGAAGAACTTGGCTGCTTTTCTAAGTTGATCCAAATGTCGTGTGACTTGTTTATTTATTGTCTAAAGGAGATACTTCATGACAGCGTGGAATTGACTAGCACTTCCCATAGTGCAAGCAACTCATTGGAAATACAATACAATAAAACTGATAATACAATAGACATAAAATACTATTAACAAAATTGATTGAAAAGACCATTTTGAATAAAAAACTGTATATCATTAAGGCAGAGCTCCTGTTCATAAAAAATATCAATTCATGACAAACGAAAGATTATATCTGGGAAGAGATCACAAACTCCGCTTCCTTGAAGGCTACTTGTCCTTCCCCATATTGGGTGTCCTGTGGTTGTGTGAGCCGTCGCACCAATGGGACGCACCTTACTTGTTTGGGCTTTACCATTTTACAATAGGAATGGCACTCAGCTAAACACTCCCATATGAAAAAGCGATGTTCATTTATAAAGGTAATCTTTTAGGATGTCAACGATATCTTGCCTATCAATGTTTCGCTTCTTCATTACTATAATAAATTCAAATACAGTTAAATTGGGTAGTCTAGTTTCCAGGACCTCTAGCAGCTGTCTTGAAGGACTTCCCGATCCAGATGTCTGTAACTCCTTTTCTAGTTCCCAGATATCTTCCTGTTTAAACCCGAACGCTTCAGCTACAGTTTTAAAGTCGCCTTTTTTTGTTCCTTTAGGCTGTTTGTCCAGTCGCTTCCAGACCTTTTCGTAAGCGTCTAATGAACGGGATTTTAGTGCATTCAAAGTACACAGAACTGTGAGAAATATAGAAGAATAATGATTAAATCCTTGAAAACGAAACCACGTATTTTTTTATGCTGAAACTGGTACAGTTCTAGTGCTCGCGTAATTTGGCCATCTGCTACAAAAACTTTCAAATGCTTCCGAGGGAGTGTTAAGTCGGTGAAAACTATTAACACTGAATTCGGCAAAGCCGATCGTACAACGTGCTGGTCAGGTCTTTTATAGATCCTACGTTTTGCGGCATATTCGTTTGGGGTCCTTTGCAGTTTAAATGTCAAAAAACATTAACTACATAATTTTGTAGATCTCTGGATACCGTTCTTTTCTGCGGCCGGCTTTAGATACAGCCTTTGTCTCGACATACGGTATTCAGCTGAGTATTTGCATCATATTTTGTTCAGTCGTTGTATTTCCTAACCAACTCAATTGGCCCATTGGAGCTAGTCACTCACGTGGTACAAAACCGCCATGATGGAGCGCAAAAGACACAATGGGACAAGACAAACAAAGGAAATTACCATTTTATATTATGTGAGTGTACCACGTGAATGGCTACCAGCAAAAAGCATTTGTTTACATACAGTGATCCATACGCTTTAATTCTTCGTTTGCAACCACATAACAAGGCCGCCATGTTGGGTGATTAAGCAATAGAGTTTTTTTTGCACGAAAATAGAGTTAAGTTCCCAGAGGAGAGAAATGCTTTTGTTTTTGTCATCAAACATGGCTGCCGTGACGTCACGTGCAAACCAGCGATGCTTTAGAAAGAAACGATGGAAGAAATAACATAAGGAAAATTGCACTGACCTCCCTGAACTCCATTTATCTCCCCTAAACTGGTACTCTCAGTGCCTTCACCGAGCTCGGAATCGCGAGATTTGCAAACTGGACGACACTTCATCCATCTCAAGTAGTTTCCAACAGTGTTCCTTTTGATAATGACAGCCAAGAGGATTAGAACCACCATACTGACAACAACGGCTATGATAATTCTCCTCTTGTTTTCGCTACTCTCTGACACAGATCCTTTAGTTTTACCATGAGAGACTACCCTCGTGGTAGATGCAGTGCTTTTTCGGTTCTTTCTCCTCGGGTGTCGGTTCAGCGGTGTTGTGGGCGTTGGCTTACCCTTGGTTACTTCTACTGCTGGCTGTCTCGTTTCAGTTGAGAGGGACTGGAAAGGTACAGTACTTTTATTTACTTGTATTTGTGTGCTATTGTGTTGTACTGTGGATGAAATTTTCAACTTGCTCGTTTTTCTTGGGTAAATTGTTCTCTTCATTGTAGTTGGACTGGTGATTACAATCCTGCCCCGAGTATTTGTGCCTTCTTTCGTCAGTGCTGCAGTTGTCCATAGCTCACAGCCGTCCTTGTGTCTCGGTTTGCAGTGCCGGTGGCTTGGTAATCCCTGGTCAATGCACTGACTCTCTAATTGGTCTTTACCATCCCAACAGCAGATGGAACAAGGTAGGCAGCTGGAGACAACATCATTCATGTAGTAACCATAGTTACACGAGCCACACAGTCTATTTTGTGATACTGAACAGTTACGTTTAACTGACCTCCCTTCTGAACACAAAGAACATGGCCTACACTGATCTTTACCATAGGTATCAGAGTACATTCCCTCTTTGCACGCCACACAGTGTAGGTCTGTTCCATATTTCGCAACCCCTCCGCACCGGATAGAGGGCTCCATTCCATCTGGGCAGTCGATACACGGCAGACATGTGTCATTCAGTGCCGCATTGTCCCTTCTCCACGTGACTTGGTCTCCACCGCAACCATAACAACCACTCGTCTGTATCTGGAGCTAAGAGGAATTAGAACAATAAAAAATAACTTAAAAAATGGACAGCCATTTATTTTAGACAAGGGTCATTAGTAATAAACGACTTACGACTCGAGAGTTCTGCAACTTTAATAACTTTTAATCTTAAGTTTGTCCATCCTTTTTTTTCTTTTCTGCAAGGTTCTCGAATTTCTTTTTTGAAGTCACTAACTGGAGACATCCATGAAAATTAGAATTATTACCACTAACAAACAATCATCTTATTTTCTTGATTTGAAGCCTAATGGTATATAAATTATAAGACAGCCCTGTCGCTTTTCCTTAGCATTGAAGGAGTATGTCCCCGTCATGTCCAAAGATTTATTACCGTTTCATACTTCTCACAAATTAATTAATCAAACCAAAACACGAAATGACATAGTTTTTTTTTGGTTTTGTTTTGACTTTTTTTCCCGTAATTCGATCAAATGTCCATAAGTTATAATCCGGTGACCCTTAACTTCTGTGTGATCACGAGACATTTTTTAAAATCCATTGTGGTAAGTCATGCATATGCATAAAAGTGCACAGTCAGGACATTTTACATTCGCGTATTTCATTTAGGTCTAAAAATCTGACTTTCGGCCTTTATAATATGAAGTAAAACGTGTTGAATGTGTGCATAGTTTTAAAAAGGCCTTAACTGACTTTTATGTATCTTCTCAGTTTTCTTTGGTGTATTTTTATTGTTTGATAACTTCCTATTCACAACTTTTTATTGCACTTTTTACTGTTGTATTTTTAATTGTAATTTTCGGATTATTCTATGTACATTTTTAATTGAAATTGTTAACTGTGTCATAATGAGGGCCGCGGGTTTATCAGTTTACTGTTTTGCGTTACCCTCTTTTAATAAAGTTGATACATACATACAACTATAAGTAGTCAAACAAAGGGTCACCAATGATGGCCGCCAACGATTGTTTACTTACCAACGATACTAAAAGCAACGCTCTTGAAAAGATTCCCACGACACAAGTTAAGGAATCAGCTTCTTTTGTCGTGCTTCGTATCTTTTCAGGTCCTCGTTTTGGCTTGCCTGTTCCAAGATTGGACGCTTTCTATTTAATGAAAGTAATTAGGCATACTAGATTAAAAGCACGTCCAATCGATTATCCAGCAAAGACCATTATATAAGGCATACCTTCACGCCAATTAAACAAGTAACCATCAGTCTTGTTTAGTCATCTTCATTTGAATACCAATCAAGCCGTGTACCGCGCAGAAAGTAGAAAGTTGAAATGAAACTGGTATTTTAAAACCTACTTGCGCTTTGCAACAAGGTAACTGGTTGAAAACTGGTTGGAAATTGATTAAAAACAAGGGGATTCCCCGCCTTATTTACGTTACGCGCGTCACAATGCCAGCCTTTTTTTTAGGTAGATGTATGGGTGAGCTGGCTGGGGGTCGTGGAAAGTCACTTAAAGCTCGTAATTTGGAGAGACTTTCTTTAGTTTGTGTATTCCACATCAAGTAACGATAGAAAAGGTTTAATACCGCTGAGTTGATTGCTTTAGCCTGTGACATCTCTTTATGGGCGAAGTGAAAGCGAGAAAATGCGACCAGGCGAGAGGTGGAGACCCTTGGGGGAGAGAAGAGCCTGTTAAGCTCCTCACCAATCTCCCCGTGAAAATGTAACTTGGCAGAGCAAGTGGTACTTGGGTACGAGTTTGTTGGTTTCCCGCCGATACAGCCTGCATGCTAGGTCTNTGGTTTTTTTTGGTGGGTGGGGTTCTGTTGTTTTTTTTTCTTCTTTTACTTTATTTAATTTTTGTTTTTTTTTTTTTTTGGAAGGAACGGTGTTTTATTAAAACCCAAGGGGTTTTGGGGGGGGGGGGGGGGGGGGGGATGCGCACCCCTAGCACCCTCCCCCTAGACCCGCCCCTGAAAGACTAGAGTCAGCCATATGGGAAAATGGCTGGAAGATGCCAATTCAAACACCCAACGCAAAGACGAAATAGACGAATGACTAACTGAAAAACCTGTTGCGTTTGTTTGGTGAGGGAAAGAAAAGCCGTAACCTCCTCCCTTGTTCCCGTTAATATAACGAGCTCATGTGGCAAGGTATTTACATGAAACACACGGTTTATTGCAGGATAATTAGAATATAAGATACTCTTGCCCTATGTCAATTTTGATGTGAAAAGGAGTCATAACACTGTAAAACGCTACCTCATGTCATCGCCGATAATCGCACCTCATGAATACGTTTTGTGTGTTAGCGAGAAGGGATCGTATCTTATTGACACCTCGGGGCGACTCCCATATAACAGAGACGAGGATGCTCCGGCGTCGGAAAATTCAAATTAACCTCTCAAGGAGAGCAATGTTGGTGGTTCAAGCTTAGACCCCTAAGGGAGATTTCTGTGTGGTCAGTGTCAGGACATTTTTTGTAAATTTCTGTATGCATAGTACCAAGTGATACCTGAATGGGCAAATATAGTAACTTTCCATCCCAAACACCCTAAGTGAGACCAAAATCTGTAATTTACACCTCAAAGCGAGACGAAGAGCATCCCCTTCACTTTTGTATGGGAGTCCCCCCCGGATTGACACGGTGTCTCAATTCCTCTTACAAACAAAAGAATGGAAATTTACAAACTGTCTTACACAGGAACATCATATAGACTTAAGATGACAGTTTTCAAAAACGACACTCAAAATTTGTCTAATTAAAACATCCCTAACGTGCATTTGATACAAGCAAGTATTTTGTGGATATTTATCTGAACATAATTCCACCACTAGATCAAAGTTTATTATCGGAACATTAACTAGAAGAAACAAAGTGATTATTAAGCCTTTGTCTAAAACAGAAAAGTATGTGAAATTAAATGAAAATAAGGTCGTCATACTGATACAATATGTTACTTTGAGTTTGATTTTCTCAAGATTCTCTTCATTCTGAAAAGAATGGTGTTTTTGTTTAAGGAATCTTAGTAACTTACTAATTGCGTAGAGCTAATTGTTGATTTACAACAAACATATGTAGTGAAAACATAAAGAAGTACTACTCCAATAATTATTCTTAAAGTTTTGTCTTGGATATATGCAATTACATGGCTATATAAATGATGCACGTCACTACAGCTTTATATTTTGTAATTATATAATACTACGACGTTAGGAAACACATGTATACAATTTCCGAAAAGGATGTCAGTAGTATAATACAAGCCCTTTTTAAGTGCTCTATCTACAATTGACAAGATGTTCGTAATGAATCTATAGAATCAAACAATATTAAAGTATGAAGTAATTGTATAGTGTAAAAACTTACATGTTAATTAATCTTATCAAAAAAAAATGAAAACTGCACTTATTACAGCCTTAAGCACAGGTGACCCAGGCTCACTGTTTAAGCTCAGTAGGAGACCTCTACACCCTTACAGCACTTCCTATGGCAAAAACTTTTATAGTTCTTCAGGAGCCTCTTCTGCCATGTCATAGGCCCTCAACAGACGACTGACGTCTTTTCTCTTGGCTTTCCTTTCCACTACATTTGCAAACTCCTCAACTGTTAGGTCTGGATGGGAAGATGCAAGTGCAATAATCAGTGCTTTGGTTCGTGTTGGTTCTCCCGGATAAGTTGCATGTTCAAGTCTTGCACTTATCTGAAAACGGTTAAATTTAAAATGCCGAGCCACATCTCTATAGTCACCACGCAAGGGTACAACAGTGTCTAGCATTTCACAGACCGCTTGAAGGGTGTCTTCATCGTTAAATAGGCTTGCCAGCAGCTTGGACGCTAAAAGCAACAATCACAAATAGTGAATGTACCGAATGTCAACACGTATTAGAATCACACCTGCAGGGCTGTCACTAAGACGCGGGGGCCGTGGATTTTCCCTGGCTACTAATCACATACACCCAGCAACTTGAAATGTTAGCAACAGCCCTGCACCTGTTTTAGAAAGTTAAGTTTCTTGACTAGTAAAAGCAGATTCACGCCTTAAGGAAGGGTAATAGTCTCTCTATATTCCACACCCCGACCATTAGTCTCATTATGTAATGTAATGTAATAACTTGCCGAAAAACATAACAGGGTTGAGGTTTGAGGGTAAGCAACTGTCAACTTAAGTATAATTCCAAGTAATAACTAAATTGTCCAGCTTTTTGCATCAAACTTTGTTTCGATAGCCCTCATGGGGATTGATTAATGAAGTAGCTGTACCTTTCGGAGTGGACGTCTGACAAACACATACTAGACCTTTTGGATTCTGTAAAATTGAAATAACAGATAGAGAGCATAAATTTATAATAATATTTTATGGCAAATTCAATGAGACCCTTGCACTCATTAAACTGTTCAGGATAAATGACTTAAAGGTTAACTATAGAGTGACAGACATTATTGCTTTCTCGACCACAAATGAATGAAGAGCTACAAGTTTGTTAAGTAATTAATAGATAATTGACCTTTTTTCCTTCATTAATTTAGTAGCACGCTTGTTAGATACTACATCTATTTTGTTTTTCCTTTTCATAATTACCTATGTAATGTTCATAGTAGAAGACTTGTTAAGTTACAATTTATGTACCTTCTCACACAGTGTTTCACTTGATTCTGATTTTGATTGTGTCCCCTTTACCATGCCAGGCTTTTTCTCTCTAGTATGGTCTCCTGAAAAAACAATTAACTCATGGATTCACTAGCAACAAATTTTACCAATACACAATGCTGAAATATGTGCATGGGTATTTATATGTACATTAACAACAAACTTTAAAAAACGATGACGTATAGGTTTAGAAAAATGTTGCTTACTCCTTCTTTTGTAGTTTAATTATTGCTCTTGTTATAGAATTACCACCCAAACCCAGGTTGTTCATATCACTAGTTGAAACTGGAATAGTAAATGTGCATTTGATAATTTGATCTTTCCCTAGAAATGATTTACTGTACGTGCAGCTCTTTTAACCTCACACCATATTGCACCAAAATTTTCTGGTTACAGTGATGACCTAAAATTATAAAATGGTCACCGGGCATTCAATATTGGCCGGCCGAAAAAAAAAGACACGGTGCAGATTTAAAGAAAGACTTAAAGAATCAAAATGGCTGCTATTCAACATTTCAAATGGCTCTCTTCAACATCTGAAGGATTGAATACCTTGAAACCTGCCATTTTGGTCACTATTGCAGTTCTAGGTTATTATACATGCAGTAATCGCAACTCAACACACACACACACACACACACACACACACACACTTACCTTTCCTGGCCACTGCACAAGCTGCAGTATCCTTTACTAAATGATACTTCACTCCTTTTTCTGCATCAGTATTTTTGAGCTGAAGAGAGCTAGAGCATGACCTTGGCAATAAGCAATAACTAATTAAAGCAGCCAAGGATACTAGACCCAATACCACAGCCACGGTTATACCAACAATTAATCCAACTTGGTTGTCGGCAGGCTTTGCTTTAGATGAATCCTGCAAACTCCTTATTTCTCCAGATGATGTAAAGGTGCCTGTTACATTTTGTGTAAAATGGGCAGGAAAAGGGGTGCTCTGAATGACAGTGGTCACTTTTGGAGACTCTGTTGGTCTATCTTTTTGAGATGCTGTTGTTTTGTCCAAAGATGCTGCTGTTGATGCGTTTTTGGATTCTGTGGTATTCTCAGGGGATGCACTTGCATTTGCCTCAGTTTGAGATGCTGTGGTTTCTTGTGGTGATGGTGTTAGAGTATCAGTATCTCTGTCACACCGATTTACACTGCTTTCAAAAGAGCAGATCATGTTTGAAGCAGCCCCCATTTTCCTTTCACATTCCTCTTCGATAACATCTTGATCATCTCCACAGCACTTTGAACATTGTTTGCAGTCACCAATTACCTCATCATAGTACCTGTAAAGTTAAAACAACATAAAGCTAGAAAACTATGGCAACTATAAAAGTGAATAAAATTTAAAAGTGATCATTTTCAACCTCTTACCACTAGCTATATATATAGACAGGTTCTTATGCACATGTCAGTTTCATTTTGAGCACAAGATAAACTAAAGCTAACCCTGATTAAGCAAGCTGTCATTTGCAACAAAAAAGTACAATTCTACTTGTAAACATACCAATGGTAATTATATTGAGTTATAAGCAACATCCACAAGAACAAAGAGGTTACATACATTGTATTCATTAAACTGTGGTACAACAGACCTAAGTAGAACAGCTGAGAACACTGTAGGTATGCCAGATAATTCAAACTGCAAAAGGATTGGTACGCCAAGACAAAAACAACTGATTGTATGTGAGATTGACAGTCTTCATAGAAGTAATAAATAACTAGAAATGCTATTAAGGAAGTGTTAATTTTGATTAAAGTTCAGCCTCCGTTTTTTAAATTTGCAGGAAAAATACCTGTCCTTGCTGTTACACTGTTGTGCACATTTGACATCTGATGTTGTCGTGCAAGTTTGATTAACCAACTGATCTTCTGAACAGGACGCACTGCAAGGAATACAGCTCAAAGTATCATAATTGGTGGAGAATGAACTGCCTTGAATGCATGGTATGCAATGAACCATTTCACTTGATGATATTTTTGTTCCACATTCATGTGAAAGCCCTTGACCAGGTGGGCAGCTTTCACAATCGACACATGAAGTTGCGCCATCTGCATAAAGCACCAAAAACTGAAATTCAGTGCATCGATTTGTTGCCTGCAGGAAAATTATAAAAATCTTTATTAAGCTTGATGTAACCCCTAACAGTGAGCTGTATACACTCTTGTTGCTGTGAAAATGATATTTAGAACTCTAAAGCATGTTAACTTTACCATCAAATGTGTATGCAACCCCAACAAAGTACACTGAAAGAATGAATTTATGACTTTCATTATTGGAGGCACAGAGGGAAGAAAAAAATGCAAAGGTCATCACAGTTATAGATACACTATTTGCCTGATTTTTTTTTCAGGCTTTTTTGCAACTGCATACATGTAAGTCGCATTCATGCAAAGTATAGTGACTTGATATTAGTTGTTTCAATTCTGGTTGAAAAAAAAAGGAGCAAACAAGACACTTACACTGACATGAGGCACATCTACATGTAACTCCACGAAAATAAGTAATGCCAACAATGCCTGCAAAAAGCAAAGCCCATATTAAATCAAAAATAGGAATTAAAATAAACCTGAATTTTGAGATCGTTCATTCCAAAATCCAGAATAAAGTGTTACTTACATTGGATGACTGTCTCTAAGACAGCATATTACGATTATTATTGAATATAGATGAATGACAAATAATCTTTTGTTCCGTCACGCTCTCTCTGAGCATGATCAAAGATTACGCATAATTAATTTTTAAAAAAAGGCCGATCAAAATAAATACCAACACAGTCGGTCAGATAATTTGCATATCAAAACAAACAAGATGACGCAACTGTGAATGAGCAATGCTACAGGTAAAGCGTGAATGGAGAAGCCTTTTTAAGAAAGATACTGCCTCAAACTATTACTATTTAACGTCAAGTGTATCGCGTACGTACACTTGTGAAGAGTGAAGACTATCAGGGAGTGAAAAATGAGGTTATTGAGATCAACGTCATTAACGAACTTTTCTTAACTACGTTGCACATTCCATTGCTTAAAATCGTTTACAACGTAGAAACTTAGTTTTAAAAAAATCAGGGTTACTGGAATGAAATTTAAATCGAATTCATTAGTAAGATCATTCAGCAATCCTCTTTTCTGACCTTTGTCGGACTTTTTAGAACTAAAAACCACGTAAGTGAGCTTTCTTTGATAATATACGATTGCTCAGCACAATCTCTCCGGTTGTAGAATATTACGCAGAACTACGTAGCTACACCTGTTATGTATGGTCATGGTTAACCTAAAACACATTTTAAAAAATGAACTTAACTCACCTTACGATAAAGCGAAAACGATAAATAAGGATTTCTTCGTCGCTTAATTTGCGATTCGTTAACCACCTACAAGTGAAATAAGTTATGAGCTGATTAGGGATTCGAAACAATGTTCGCAAAAGGCAAGAAGGATCACGGCTTCATCATTTCTGAAATATTAATACTAAAAAGGGTGAGGAGGACACTACGAGAAATTTGTAAACGAAATAATCGCTGAAAATTTAACTTACCATTTCCGACGCGTTCCTTCTTCAAAACGTAAAAGTCAACGGAACGAAGATGTAAGGGGTATGCTAGAAGCTTACACTTGCAAAGGACGTTAGATAACTCTCCATCTTGCATGATAAGCTAGTTGCTGTTCGTTTTGCGACTCCAACGGGATTTGAAGCTAAGTAGAAGTTATAACGTGGAAAGATATCGCAAAGCGAAACACCTCGCGTTACCGTGAGTAAGGCTAGGTGTAAAACGACTTGATGAAAGAAGGTATTTATAGCTGGCAAGTCAGTTTACATGACGTTGATTGGTAGTAGAGGTCATCTCATTGGCCAATGAGCGAAGGTTTCTTTGTTCACGCAAGCGTGCAAGTACAAAGTCCGCCGAGTTCTCTTGTCACATGAGAACCCCGCGACAAATTTAGAATGGCGGGAATTTGGCGCGAAGTCAGGCGAACAGCCATCTTGTTCATAGATCATCAAGTCAGCCAATGGAAGTTATGATTTGCACATTCTTTTCAGTTCTATCGCTCTAGCAAAGGCTTATACTCATTTTGAATCGCCGGGAGTCGTTCAGGATCTCGAGAGATTGTCCACATAAATCAACTACGCAATAACATCGCGCGGCCCAGTGAATGGTGCGGGGAATTCCCTACTTTCGAATGCACACTTGGCAGATGGAAGAAGAAGAGGTAACTATCAGACAAACTTTGCTTAGACATGTTTTGGATCATCCCATTCCATGGTGAATGTAAACATCCTGCGGATAGTGCATCACTACGATAATTTTGCCATTCATCCGACCATAAATGGGAGAATTCGTGGCGCCCAACTATTAGTATTACTTCTGTTATTAAACATTCAACTCACTATCTCTTTTCTGATTGGCCGAAAGCGTACAGTGAATTTTCGAAATCAGCGCCTGGGACGTCATCTTGCTGCAGTTTATACAATAATCATGTCAAGGACACTCAAGGTCACGGGTAATCATGTCATGTAAGACCGCGGTGCATGATTTCTAGAAGAAGAAGCAAACAGATAACTTCCAGGTTTGCTTCGTTGACCGAGCAAGACATCGAAAAAAAAGTTGGAACTCACAAAACACAAAAAGGTCGCCGAAGGTGGCAAAGGAGCTGTTTGCCGATTACGTGAAAGAGGAAAAACATTTTATGTTGAAGCGAGAAAGAAAGAATTCGTTCAATGTATAATAAAACAATTATTTGATTCGGTTTTTGTGATATCCAGAATAATCAAGATCTCGGTGAGGGTTATCCCTACCTCGACCTTGATTATTCTGGATATCACAAAAACCTCATCCAATAATTGTTTATATAATTAATCAAAAAACCTAAACACCGCCTTTTGCTTATTTTGTCACCTGATTTTACATTAAAATGCAAAATCAGGTGACATTAAAATGTAAAATCAGGTGACAAAATCTGCTTTAAAAATTGTCAGATTCGCTTGTTTAATGCTAAAAAGTGGATATTTCTCAGAAAGCTTGGTGCTTTGCTTAAGGAAGAGGAATACATCAGAAAATTTATTGAGCTTTTAAAAATGTGAGAATGGGACTGGAACAGGGTTCGAATTACCAAAACTTGATGTGATATGAGAGGCAAAGTAGACACGGAAATCATGGAGAATTTGCTCTGATATTAAGGTTTTGAGGCTAAAAAGGGGCCAGGGGGTGGGGTACAGGGACCCCTCTGACACTCTCTCGTCACCTTCATGCCCTTTTCTCAGCTTTTACGGGAATGCTCTTTGTGCAATACTATTTAATTTCCCCGTATTGTCATTGATTTTGAACTATGGGTTGTGTATGAAGGAGGTGGCGTGGAAAATTTTATGCATTAAGTATAAGTTCACAACACAGGAAGTATGACAGCTAATAATAGTATAAGTATAACTTTATTTGCCCACAAAGCAGCCTTGATTCCATTATTGATGCACATTAATGTGAAAAATGGCCTCTACGGGACTTATTTCAGTTATAGTATAATTTTGATGACAAGGAGAAATAAGTGATAAAATCAGTTTTCAAACAGGAACCTCAACTCACAACTCACAACTCACTGTTTGTCAGGGAGATATTGTGATATTTTACATAAAATTGGTAAACCAAAAGAAATTGGACTTATTAATACAAAAAAGATGAAATGGAAACCACTCCAGATTTCTTGATTGAAAATTGTGTTTAAAAAGTAAGCCGAATAACAGTCTCACTTCTAGTTCAATTAAGTTTATTCCTGCAGTTGTTACCTCCAAAGTAGATAAAAATGATCTTTGGCCTACTTTGGTTTATGCTTCTAGTAGATATAGATCCCTATGTCATGGTGCTTATAATAATATAACACAGATCTGTCAAATACACTTTTCCAGTCAATATGTCCAAACCGATAAACCTAACCAAACTTTGTACACTCTCAAGGGTTTAAAGTTGAACCATGCATGTATTTTTTTTATTTTCCCACCTATTATGTCTTCTTACATGCCAGGAGATGAGACAAAATATACAGTGTTGTCTCAATTGAATTACAGTGCAGGGAACCCTGTTTCCGTTGTATTATTTTTTTATGTGTAGGCTATTTTTGTGTAATTATTGATGCTCTTTTTGTTCAACTTATCCTTCATCAGTCAGTTAAGAAAGTTCTTATTCTTCAGAAAAACTCGAAATGAGCTCGTACACATAAGGCTCTAGGATATTGACCACATCAAATCGCTTAATTTTGCGAGTTTGAAGAATGTGTACGAACTGAGCTACAGTAAAATTTTGCTGCTTTGCTTGAAGAGCATTAAGCATCACTGTGCATGGACTGCCATCAGGAGTCAACAATTCTGCTCTAAAGTCATCAATCTCCTTTTCTGTGAAGCCTAGGTGTACTGCAACATGTCTCCAGTTTCCCACACCTCTGAATGACAAGTCCAGTTTCTTGGCAACAGCTTGTAGGACCTCCTTTGGAAGTTCATGGAAGCAAATTGATGGTCTGCCCTCATCAGTGATCAAGGGATCTACAAGATTAGCATCAGTTGTAAGTTTCCTGGCCCGGGTTGCTCGAAGCATGGTTAGTGCTAACCAGCGTTAAATACCATGGAAACCTATACAATTTGATACCTCTTAACCAACGGTTAGCGCTAACCAGGCTTCGAGCAACCGGCCCCTGCTGGTTACTCAGATTTTGTGTCAAACTGATCACACAACAGGGGAAACTATTTTAATATGACACTACTTTGTTTAATAATATTAAGCTTTAACCATTTTATATTAATTTAGTTATAATTTTGAATTCAAATGACTTAAAAAAAATTTATATTGTATATTTAAGTGATAAGGACCCAACTGCAGAAGCCCAGGTTGTAAGCAAACTTAGTCCATAATATTTTATACCATGTTTGTGGTGCAGTGTAGTGTAGTGTGGTGTTAAAGGTTGGCTAATGTTGTAGTAAAAATCTACAGTCGACTCCTGATAATTCAAACCTTCAAGGGAAATGGAAAAAAGTTAGAGTTATCGAGGGTAAAATTACAGAGAAAATGATCTAAAGGGAAGTGAAAATTGCTTCGAGTTAGCAGGAGGTTCGAGTTACAGAGTGTTCAAGTTAACGGGAGTCGACTGTATCTATGTATGCAGAAACAGCTTACCACAAAGATTTCTCCCAGTTACCATTAGGTCATTATGGCCAAGCCCTTGGTTGCTCTCTTGGTATCTGTATCTCCTAAATGGGTCCTGCAGAACATTCAAAGTAATTTTAAAGTTACATATTATAGATGTAAATACCTGCATTTCTCTCCATTAATCCCATAATGTATACTGATATTATTTTTGTTTCATGTAGGCCTTTCCTGCTTAATTTCACTCCAGTGTAAACTGCTATAAAATAATTAGTTCAAGCTTTGTGTGGACAGTTTCATACATATCACGTTATGTTATCAACCCCAGCCTGGATTTGGTTCCTTTTTCCATAGGATTGGGGAAATATTCACTCAAAACTTCAGATTAAACTAAAGTGAAACTCACATCTTTGATTGAAGCCACTGCAGAAAGTTTTGTTGTTGTGTTGTCTGCTGTTAGTTCAAGAGTGCAGTGAAAATCTCGGTTTCTACCATCATCATGCCCAAACAATATCTCTGATCTTGGTATTGTTTTGTAGGATTCTTTCAAACTTTTGTGTGTTATCACCTGTTTAAAAACATAAATAGTATAGTCTGAATCGATAATGTACGAAAACATTAAATAATCTGCAGGCTTCTCAACAGAAGCCGGTATCTGGCAGTTGATCACTGCCTACTTTGGAATTTGTAGCCACTTAATTTGCCTTCCATTTGCTGCTTTTTCCTCCCCAGTTTATGGCCCCTGCATTTGTCACAGCTGCCTTCTTAAAGGTTGGACAGACACCTACTTCAAATCCTATTGAAAGCCCTGCCCTTGTAGACTCGTGTATCAGTATTTTCATTATCACCATTATTTCTTGTTGGCTGTTCTATACACCTGTCAGCACCAAAATGGAAGTAATCTAGTTATGAGTAGTACAATAGTATATACCAGTAATACAATTAATATTATTTTTAGGACTCATTTTAGAGTAATAACCTGTGGATTTATGCATGCTTCCTTCCATCCCTCAACAAGTTGTTTAACAGAAATCTTGATATCAGTGTCTAGTAAAGTCTCAATGTACAAAGACTGAAGAGATCCCAGAAGAATCCTGTTGTTGAACTTTTCTTCCTCCATTATTTTCTGAAAATGGAATGAGATAATGCGAAATACAATAAAGATTTATTTTTGTTTACATTGATTTATGGAAAAACTCTTAAAGGACAGACAGTATGTTTTGTATGGAGTCTACATATAACAAGCTGGAAAAAAGGCCTCTTTCTTTTTTGTAACACATGTTGGATTGTTGGGTTGTTGTGATCATTATAATCATAGCGTTAGGGGGGGGGAGATGGGAGAAGGAGAGAGGGGTACTGTATTATAGTACTCTTAACCAACCTTCCCGGAATTAATGAGATAGTTTTCCTCAGTTCATGCATTTATTTACTAGAGGGATGCAAGTGAATCTGAAGCATTCCTGCAAAACAGGAATACTTAGACAGCCTTTGTTTACCACTTCGTTTCAGAGACTGTTAGCTAAGCCACGGACAAGTAGTTACCTCAAGTGATGCTTCACAGTCATCAAACACATACAGATATGCTGTATAGTTCTCACCAACTTTGCCTTCACCACCAAAGATTGCACACTTGAAACGCTTTTTGTTTGGTTTGGAATTGAATGCTGGTGTACCAACAACAACATAGGATAGGAGACAATCCACATGGCGGCAAACATCATTGTTACTTATTTCATCTACTTCCTCATCCTTCCATACATTTATTCCATTTTCAAATGCTGAACTTTTGAGTTTTATTTTCCAGCCGTGAGTATAAAATACCAGTGCACTGTGCGGTATTCTAATCTGCACAGGCTTGGAGAGTCTGACACCATAAGGGTGAAACTTAATAATGGGACTGAGTTGCACTTCATCTTGATTCAAAGCAGGAAAAGAAGTTTGATCCCAACATATTTCTACTCTTATCTGTTGAGCATCATTAAAGAAGCTATCTGGATCATTGAACTGTAGTAAGACTCCACATTTTTCAAAGGATAAAGTCTCCTGTGAAACATTTACTGTTGGATCCTCAAGTTTCATGGCTGAATGGCTCGTTGCTATGATAGAAAATAACAAACAATATATGAGATGGATGTCAGTAGTATAAATTCCACAATAGGGATTTAAACAAAGGTAGGGGACATCTAAGCACCGTACTGATCATCAATACTTCTTTTGTGTGTTCCCTGATTCATAGTTTAATTATTAAATTGGGTTGTTAAGCATGCAGACTGGGATTTTCATGGTCATTGGGCAATCTGCGCGTATTTGATTTGAATTTTAAACATAAGCAGCCATAACACCATAAAAAGCTGTCTCTACATTTTAGAGTTGAAGTTTCTGCAGCACCCCACCTGATTAGACCTTTTATCATTGCTATTTTTGTACCTTGTAATCCTAAAAGGATCTTTATACGTTTCTTGGAAACTGCCTACCTACCCCTCCCCTAAGCCACTAAATTTGCAAATAACTTAAGTCAGTAAGCAGATTTTATGAAGGAAACAATTTTATACCGTGTTTAACTAAACAGCTTTTAAAAATGTTTAAGCTTTGATGTGAATGGGGCACAAGGTTATAGGAGTAAAGGAAATGATTGCCAAGGAAAAATGTCATGGTTTCTTATCAATTTTTTTCTTGTAATAATCTCAAAGAATATTCAGAGAATGGTGTGGACAATATGCATGTCATTATATATGAAGTATATTTAGCAATTATATCGAATGAGGCTGTGTAAGATGTCAAGAATTATGCAAATCCAGGGAATGTTATCCACTGAGGTGAAGGCCTTGTTTCCAGGCAAATGTTCCATTGCTCAACCTCATTTTCAAGAAAATATACCATTAAATATACCATTAAATTTCGCCAACGGTGGTTGGGCGCTTCAAACCTATAAAAAAAGGCAAAATATTTAGTTGGATGAATAATAAAATAATATAGTAACCTTCGTCTTCTTGTTCTTCTTCAGAGGCAAGTAGCATTGCAAGTGAATGGCTTCCTGACAACCTCTTGTTCCTTTGATGTCTCCACCTCCACAATAGCATTATGAGAATTGAAGTCACAAGTCCCACTGTAACACCAGCCGCTATATAAACAGCTAACAAGTTTCTGGAGTCTTCCAGCTTTGTATTTTCTTGTATCTTTTGTTGACAAACACTGATAGCTCTTCTAGTATAACTACACTGCAGACTTAATGGCATTTTTTGTTCTGCACATTTTTCAACATAAACATCTTGGCCATCATTACAGCATGCTGAACATGGCATGCATGAATTACTAGTGTGATCTTTATAAAACCCTTTATCACACTCACCACATGCCCTATCCCTTGTCACATTACATGGTATCAGTTCTTTTTGTCCAATAGAACATTTAGTACAAGTTTTACAGGAAGCAGTGTCTAGCTTGTCTGAAAATGTCTGACCTGCCACACATCCTAAACATTCAATGCCAGCAGTATTTTCCACCATACTTCCACATTTTATAGATGGGGAAGTTCCAAGAGGACAGTGTTTACAGTTCTCACAATGTGAACCATTCTTGGTCATTACAATGTACTGATTATGTTTACATTTCGGTTTACAGGCATTAATAATTTGAAGAGGGAGATTAGCATCACATTGCTCGTAGAAGGGCATATCTTTACAGTCATCTTTTTTTTCGTTCTTTCCATCACAACAAAATGAGCATTTCCTACAGGACCCTGTTGTTTCATCAAAATAGGACTCTTTCCCACAGTCTCTGTTACATTCTGAATTGGCTGTCAAAGAACATTTTCTCACTACTGTATGCGAGTCTGGACATATTTGACATGGCCTGCAACACCCATAATCTGTGGTGTTTGAGTATGTTTTCCCAAGTTCACATGGTTGACAAACAATTTTCTGTGCTTCAGTTTGTTGAACTCTACCTCCACATTGACGAGACAACCCAAAGCCTGGTTTGCACGTATAGTTAGAACACCTTATACAAGAGATAATTTTGCCTGAGTGATCAACAACTGTAAACTCATCACCTCCACACCTTGAGTAAACCTATAAAAAGAGCATTAAAAGAAAAAGCGATGTTTAAGGGTAGGATATCATTTGACCCTTTTCAGAGCAAAACGGTTCATCAGAAATAGAGTAACTCATAACAATAACATTGTTATCTTAGGAGTTAACGATTTCGAATTAATATATTAAAGACATAACAGATATTTTGCAGACAACTGATATAAAATATTTGCCTTAGAGTCCGATTAACGAGTTTCAGCAGGTAGCACAAAATTCCTTTTTTTAATTCTAATTGTCTAATAGCGTTATGGTTCTGCTGGAAAATACTAGGATAAGGAAATTCCAGTGTATTCACTACAGTACGTCCACAATTAAGTCACCTGTTAATAACGACTAATTCTGTAAGCAACAAGACGACTGCTTCTTATTTAACTTTTGACGTGCTCCTGTCAAAAGTAGGAACATTTTATAGATTTTAACGTTGCGAATCTCAACAGTTCCTAAGGATAAACAAACTAAGACAATAGAACGAAAGCCACAAGCAATAGGTTATACCGATTATGGTTAAATTCAGTCGTGGACGTGAGTAACCAGAGCGTCAATACAGCTCAGTCGTTTCTAGCAGCGTCTTTACTGATACACTACAGAAAGAAGCAACTGAACTACAATTGTACCGTCAAATGCTTTAAAGTATGCAATGCTTTGTTCGCAATGTTTAATAGAATCTGAAAACTTTTTCGGCAGCAAATATATTAAAGGTTGTACATGATTGCGTCTAGTTAGCGTACTTACAGTAAAAATCAGACGAAAAACTATCAAGCAAATGAGGTATATGCGAAGAACACCCATGCTTCCGTACTTTGTACCTGAAAGTTAGATTTTCAGACAGATAGAATGGTAATTAAAATAGCCTTGACGTCATAGTTTCGAAACTGCTTGCTAATCACATTTTTTCAACGTTTTCAAAAGATTTTGCTTACTCATCAACAAATTTTCAGCTTTGTTGTGAGTTCAAACAACGAAAAAAATTAGTGATTCGCGGATCATGTTCGATGCAAAACCTTGCTTGAAATGTCTCGTATTTGAAAGAGCTTTTTGGGAAATGCACGTGTTGCTGGAACTTAGTAAACGTTATCCAACGTAAAGGAACGTTGCATTTACTCAATGCGACCTACAAATACAGAATAATTTGCATAATTTTCAGTGCTTTGCAGTTCTTACCGTTTCATAGAGTCCTGCGACCAAGTTGTTCTATACCGACGCACTTTGGGCTGCTAAGAAATCGGGGTAAACGGGGAATACGCTAAAAAGTTTTGTGCTTGGGGGATTCCCCTTCACATGACTTTGGGTCTTTGGCTTGTAAGCCAATCACATGAACGAGTCACTACCCACGTGATAACGCATTCAGTTGTGATTGGCTTGTGATAAATGCTTACGAAAGCGTAGTATTGTGATGGTGCAACTGTTTAAAAGGCTAAATAAACAATTTAGGTTCTATTTCGAATGATGGCGGACGATTGATAAGGAGTCTAGGGATCTTTCTCTGTCTGCCTTTTCCTTGCGACATGGTAGACAAAGGAAGTCATCTTGCCATCGAATTTTTTGAAAGTCATTTTGGAAATGGCGCCGAACAAGCAGTCAATACAGCCGCTGTTGCCAAACCACCGTCCACGTTGGCTTCTCCTGTACACTCAAGCGTAGAATGTTCCACAACGCGTAGTCGAGTTTACAACAACGCGCACCATTCACAAATTCGACGTAGCTCTGATGACAGGGAAGATGGTCTGCTTCTCGAGGATCAGCACCAGGGAGAGTTACAGCTAGTCGTTGATAAATCATGGTTCTCCAGCCCCCAAGAGAATCTGCCATGTCCTATGGAGGCTTTCCCCGATCAAGTCGAAGTCAAGGAGTCGATACCTGCGTGCTCGAGAGGCTTGATGCTTCCATCTACCTGTAGACCACAGCTAGGTCAGTCAAATGGCACCGACAATGTAAGCGCCCAACGCCCCAGTTATGCTGAATCGCCGATTGGACCTTCACAGCAGAATGCAAGTTTAGGAGTAGGTGATGTGACTTGTGTATCCTCAGCTGATGAAATTGAACGGGAAATTGCCGATGCAATGGAAAGTGTACCATTTCAGTGTACCACCATTCCCCAGCAAGAGGCTGGCAGGATCGCAAGAGATCCCATCGTTAGTGGTATTGCCAAAGATGGAAAATTGGGTGGTGTGAATGGAGACGGTTTTCTCAGTACGTAAAAAATTCTGCCATTTACTAGAGTAGTTTACCCAGATTTTTCTCATTGAAGCATTCTTATTCGTTATTTTTATCGAGTAAGCCGATTAGAACACTGCTGCCAAGTCGTAAAGTTCGTCAGTTTTCACGAGTTTTTGGACAGGACTTAACCCTGCGGCGACCTTAACCACTACTTCCAATTACTTTTCAAATCTACAGTTGGTAATTTATTCGTTTTGTAACGATATCACTTATCAGCTTTATTTCTTGTAATTATCATTTTTAGGTGACGCAGACGATTATGTACTACTCTGTCTTTTTAAACGACGAATAATTGCCAGAGATATACTTGAGCATGCGTTATACGCTATCCCTGGGAACAAATATCAAGAGGTAAGTTCATCTTTTCCAATTTTGGTAGATTTTGTGACATTCTCGGCGGATATAGTGTGAATTACTTGGGTTCATTGCACCGTGATAATTTTTTTTGTATTCCAGATATTCCCCAAAATAAAAAAGGATGAAGCTCTTGTTTATCATGGAACAGAATTCCCGATGGGTGAAGAAGACAAAACCATGCTTGAATGTTCACTTCACCGTCGTTTAGAAATTGCTGATGTTTTATATGTCCAGTGTAAAATGGTCCTTGGTCATGTTTTTTCAGTTGAAGAACCCTGCACGGTACGTAGAGTAATTATCTAAAAAGATTTTATTTTTGTACATGTACAAGATGTTCAAATGATGTTGTAATTAAACACTACTTCAGCCAAGAAGTGTACTGAAATTGGGCGATGACAAGTTTGCTCTGTTTGCGTTAAGTCTTTAAAACGTTCTTTGGTTTATGAATGCTTATACATTAAAGAAGTGGAACACATTTATTGTTATGAGTGCTGCTATTAAAACACTGTCCTATTTGTTACCATAAAACAATGTACCACACAAAGGTTTGAGTTTCATTAAATTGATCAACTAGTATCTATAAATAGCATCCTTTCTTCTTTTATGTTGCAGAGGAAAGTTACTGTGTCTGAAATTCTTTCAAAGAGTAATGAACGTATCACAGCTGGATTTTCAGTGAAAATTATAATAAATTGCCGTGGTAGCACAGACAAGTTATATGAGGATAAAGTTAGAGTAATAATACAATCTGGCAGCACAAGTCTACGATTAATTTTTCCTGTTAGTGTAAGTACATTATTGAAATTAATGGTGTTAACCATGATTATTAGAGCATTTCAGTAACAGCAGAGCTTATAAGAAATTTTTATCTTCTTTACATTTATTACTGTATCATGCAGTTCTAATACATAAAAGTCATATATTCATTGTTTCATCTTCATCTTTCCGTGGTATATTACAAACCAATGTAAGGACCAGTTTCCATTTGCCTTGCTTGTTTAATTTGTTAGAGTACTGCACTGGTATCACAGAGCTCAGGGTTCAAATCCCGGCAAACCTGAAAATTTTCAGGCTTTCGTTTTGCAGCTGCATAAGTTGTGTCTTCAACTGCTATGATCTTCTTTATATTTTTGATTATTAATCTGTAGTCCTTTTCCAGCTCTTATGTCAAGATTATCTTTCTGCTCAAGTGTAGAAAATAACCAAACTGCATCATCTGTTTTGCCTGCCAATCAGTCAGTTGCCCGTTCTGGTTATCTGATAATCATTGGTATTTTACAATTAATAGCCAGATAGTCGATAGTTTATATAGGATAGTGTTGCTTGCTAACCGTTTTTCTTTCCTCTTTGTAGCATTATGAAGCAAGCATTTTTCCACGGCTGAATGATTCATCAGGTATATATTAATCAAGACCTCATAATAATTATGTGAGTAATGACTGCACTCTCCTCCAACCAATGTGGCCTGGATTCAAGTCCTAGCTTGAGAATGTTATGGGTTTCTTTCAAATTCTTTGTTGTGAGAGCGTTTTCTCGAGGTAATCTGTTATTGCCTGTACTCAAAAACCAGCACGCCCAAATTCCAATTTTATCTAGAAAGTGTTTTCAAGGTGAGTTATTCTTAATTGTATACTATCTTGTAAGGTGAGTGAAATGAGGTGGGAAGTTGACCTTTCCATTGGAATCAACGACTTCCCTTACAGTTACCAGGTTGAGTACACCTTACTGCCCTTTGCTATTTTGTCTTTCAAAATAGCTTGGATATAGGTAGCATTCTGATAGTGGTTAGAGGTATCACCATATCTTTGGTCTAAAGTTAGTTAAAGCCATACAGGAAAAGAATTTTCAGAGAAAGTGTCTAGCTAGCTCTATAAGGACGCACACGATGTTCACCATTCAATAGTATTAATTTTATCAGCATTTGTTTTCTAAGGGGTATTGCTATCTTCACAACAGCGATTTATTAACATGCTGACAAAATGTCCTTTTTTAGTCACATGTATGCCGGACGAGGACAGAAAAGCTTTGCGCAGATGTCACGTTGCACTTCTGGACAATATTGGTGATGTCATGGTGCTATGTGACCTGTTATACCAATATGATATCTTTAGCATTGGTGACATTGAGGAGGTTAAGAGTTTGATAAAGAGGAGGGATCGCAATGCCTATGTGCTGAGTGCTATTCAGACCAGAGGAAATGTTCTTGACTTTTTCATCAAAGTAATGCAAGCAAAACGGGAAAACCAAGGGGCAGCTGCCATTTTACAGGAGATGAGGCGCCAGGTTTATAGTGGTGCTGTTAAGTAAAAAGACCTTGTGGCCTCATGGAGAACACATATCAGAAATTTGTTTTTATCAGGTTACGAGTTTGCCTTTTGTAATGAAACCAGTTAGAACATTTGTTTCTATATCTATATTCCTTACTCACCTTTTTGCAAGTATGCAATCGCTTCATACACTCTGCGCTTTATTGTTCACTGACCTCCTCCTCTTAGAAGAGGCATCAGTTATTTGCTAAATGTAGTAGACCTCAGACCCCTTTACAGACTCGATATGCACTGTAGACAAGAGTTGTTTGAGTAGCAATAGCAGGGTTCAACATGCCATTTCCGAGTTACTAAACGCCTCTGTTTCAAAGCGGAGCTAAGTGCAAAGCCATCAGTGTGAGAATTGTTTTTTATTTTCATGTAAATAAAGCTCATTTTCACTAGAAAGGATTTGCCCGTCAATTCTCGTTTTGAAAGTGAGGGCTTTTTGGAACTAGAAAATGGCTTACTGGTTTTATGATTCTGTAAGCTTAGATTACATAGTTAGGAATAAATGCATGGAATTACAAGGTCATGAGAGGTAGTGTAGTCCAAATGTGCTAAGTTGATCTTTTCCCGTACGAAAAGTAATTACTGCGTTCTAAGCTTTTGTATTTACCAACTGGCGTGTTTAACTTTGTGAAATACATACCGTTTTCATGTCGTGGCTTTTATAATCTATTGTTTTGATAAAAAAAAACTGGTAGAAAAAAGAGCTACTTTGAGTTTATGTCAAAGGCATCCGTGCATTTACCAAGTTAAATAATTATTTTAAGCTTAAAGCTTATTTCATTATATGTTGTACCTGTTAAGAAAAGAAGTTATTATTTTGTTATATTTACCCCAAAATGGGACTAGTTTTTCATCAGTGTGCTATTTTATTCGTTTAAGATTACAATTTGATAACCCGGTAATGCAAGGCCAGCTAAAACTTATTGTTGTCACAGAGTTAACAATGTTGGGTTGGTTTATTTCCACAGCAGTCTTTACTGGTAGTTTGGAGCAAACTGACTTAATGGTCCAACATGTTTTTTTGGACTGGCCCTTCGTTGGCTTCCGTAGCAGAATATCCAAGTTCAATAAGACGGTCATTGTACTACGAGGAGACGTATAACCTATACTTGGCTAATGTGAAATGTGCATGCAACATTTGAAGCTAGTCAAGAAAAATATTTGTAAATATATCTTGCATACTTAAATTCCTTGGTTATGGTCAATGTTACAAAAAAATACACCAGGCTGAACTACTAGTACCTCGAGTGTAGTAAGTTATGGCACTCCTAGTATACGTCTACTAATAAATACAGCTGAAATCTGAATTATTCTAAGGCACTGTCCACACTATCAAACGGGTATTTTTTTTTCTTCGGTTTGGCCTACCGTCCGCACGTATCCGGTGAAAGCGGTCACCGAAAACGGATCTTTTGAAAAACGCTCTCCAGAATGGAGATTTTTGAAAAAGCCGGCTTTTCGTTTACGTATAGACGGACGAAAGCGGAGGTTTTTCGAAAACCATGATGTCATACACAATATACTTCTAGCATGACGCATCCTCCGTAAGGGATGCTATCGTATTTACCTTGTTTTAACGTTTTCGTGTGGAGGGGCGAAAAAGATTCGAATACGCTACGGCGGGGTTAGGATGCGTATTTTTTTCACAACGGAGAAAAAAATCTCCGTTTTCAAAAATATTCGGATAGGTGTGGACGGGACCTAAGTATAACATGACACAAAGGAAGTCATGCTTAACTTGCCAAAGAAAACCTTTTGCTATGTTAATAAATGGTTTAGGCGCTGTCTTCCAAGAAAACTATCATGTAAACTTTGCAGAATGTGAACCGCATGATCTTGTCTCTCGTCGTTGGTGAAAAATCATGTCATCGTTGTTTACTTTCTCAAGCGAGTTATTTAATAAGGCACGGACAAGAAGTGTAGTAATGTGCAAGAAAACGATATTGTACAAAGGTTATGTAAAATGTATTACCTTATTTAGCAGGAAATAGTTAAGTGGTCAGTCCATTTAGTACATGTTCGTCTGATTTTGATTTCCTTTGTCAAAGTTGGTCAGTGTTTACAAAAAGGTATTGAATAATTCGGCAATGTCCTTTTCTTTTGTAAAAGTCCTATTATTGTGAGTGATTCTCGTGGGGAAAGTTTGGCCTTTGGTTTTCCTTTTAACAAGAGTACCAATAAGTTTCCAAGTTTGCTTAAGGTTGTCTTTGTACTTTGAAAATTGTATGTCATAGTATTCTGGCTTACTTTTATTCTTAAGATGTAAAAGAATAGCTGCATAATGTTTATATTCTCCGATTTTTGTAAGTCCTTGCTTAATAAATGTGTACGGTACATTTTCTGTTTCCTTTCTACCGATTTTAGGATACCCTTAGTGAGCTATGGCTTATTGAGTTGCCTTTGCTTGCTTTGGCTAGCCAGCTTGATAGGCGCATGTTTGTCTACACTTTTATTCAGTGTATTGATTGCCTCCCGTACCTGTTCATTTAGATTCTTCGCCGAAATTTAGAAGGATTTGTATGAGAAAAAGCAACTTTTCCCACTACACCCAGTCACGCAAGAATGGTTTTCCTTACAAATCCTTGTAAATTTGGAAATTTTCAATCTGTCATGGCATATTTCCTTAAGCATTATGGGGCTCAAATTTCCTTTTAATTCATAACAGGCACTTTGAGCCTTTAAATGCGTAAGAAAGATTTAACGACTTTAAAAATTTCAGAATTTGTAAGGGGTTGTATGGAAAACCACGCAAGCGTGACTGGGTGGCAAGAGTTGCGGAGTTTTCTCGTACAAATCCGTCTAATTTTCGGCGGCCGTTGCAATCGCTACTTTTGAGATATTCGGATGAAAAGTTGTAGGTTACCTAATTTTAATATGCTCTTTCAGCTCGTGCTAACAAAATTTTTCAAAAGCAAACTGTTTTCGTGTTTATCGAAAGTTGATCACGTAATCAACTAATGCAAAAGGCCTGTTGAGGTTTAAAAGTTATTGTTGAAATCTAGGAACTTACCTACCCTGAGAACTGTTACTTTGTCTTAAACGTAAACTAAGGATTAAGATTTTCGCAAATATTTCGTTGCTGCAAAATGTGAAAAAAAATATTTTTTCTCTAGTGTTAAAGGGTAACTCATTCAGATACGCTATATTTCTGACCATAGTTAATTGAGTGGAATGGTTATGAAACCCGTCAGACTCCTTTGTTATATGTTTTTGTGGACCTGAAAGTGCACAACGTTCAAAAGAATTCCTATCATTTTGATTGTATTGACCAATAAAAACTTTATTCCGTAACAATTTGCAACAGAAAACAAAGGATTGTGCACTTTCAGGGTGCTTCCAACATAAACTGCAGCACTGTTGTTTTTATCATTGATGTTTGCCGCTTTTCATAACCAGTCTCCTCTAATAACTATGTTCTGACTTTGTACCGACATGGCTTAAAATAACTTTTTAAAAATGTTGTGATCCACGTTTGACATCTGAATGATGCACTTGCCGTCACTGTCAAACATTTGCTTTGCTTCCATCGGAATGCCTACGTGTGTTCTTAAATCTTTGTTTCTGTGTAGTTCTAAGGAGAAATAGAAAAAAAAGGAAAGAAAAAACAACAGTGAGAGGCCTTGTTCGGATATCAAGGTATAAAACAAATGCTTAGGGAATATCTCAATTAAAAAGTGTGTTAAAGTTTAACTTTTCAGGGTCCGCTATCATCATATTCAGTGCCGATATCATGACGAGAAATATCGAGGGCAACAAAACTCTCACAGAACGACTCAAAAACTTTTATTGGTGAATATATGGCCAGTAATGACAGGACAATCGGCTAGGCTGTTTCTTGTTAAGTAGTGGGTTAAGAAGGAAATAAACAGCGAGAATACCATACCGTTTCGATAACCCTGAGAACAAGGGGCCTGTGGAAGTAAAGAATCTGGTTATAATCAATGCAAGTACTATGATTTTGCAATCGAGTTATGAATTGACATCAACTGGCCTAGCATGTTCTTCAAGAGGAAGTTAAAATATGTTCAAAGGTATCACACAGACAATTTTTCATAGTTATAGAGCTTACTAGCATGCATTTTTCCGCTGAAAAGAATTTGAATGAGTTTTTTCTTACTACTTTGTGCAATTTTTGTCGTAATTAGTCGAAAACTGGAAAAAAACATTTTCGACAACTAGCTACAACTTCACAAACGGTGCATCATAAAATACGTACGCATAAAGCCATACATGTCAATACTTACCATCAACAACAAAATGAATTATACTTAGTACTATAAGCAGATTAAAAGAGTTAAGTTTCCTAAGGACCAAACGAAAACATGGTATACCTTTTTTATAACAGTACTTGCATACAGCATAGTTTGAGTGGACGGGTCCTGAGTTAAGGTCAACACAACAAAGAAGCTGCTCTTGTTCTTGTCTGGTGCAGTAGTGGGATGAAACACAAGATTGCATTGAGGAATGATGTCAAATGAGTTCCTCAGCAAGTTATTGCTTAGCTTCTGGAAGGTGACAAATAATAGCAGTGAAAATGGATACTGCAAGAATATGCTGCGTGTTTACAATAAAAACAAAATTATTTGCAAAACATCTACGAGCGAATCAGTCAATCGACTGATTTTAATACACTGTAAACCGATTGGACAACAGAGATGTCTCAGTACCATTGGGCTAGCCTGGTCAAGTTGCCAGCCTTTATTATCTGTTATACTAATCTCCACATCCCGGTCGCTGTTGACATCAAAGTCGAGAGAGTCTATTGATGAGACGAGTTTCCCTCCTTTTTGCTGCTCCTTCTTCATAAGCTTCTATAAAAATTAAGAATAAAAATGCCTTAGAAAAATATCATGAAACAGGGTTAGTACAGAAAGGCTTGGATTGGGACGAAAATACAACGCCAGAATTGTTCAGTCCCCTAACTGGCTGAAAAAAACAAAAATGGGGTGTCATCGATTTACAGCTAGAATATATGGTCCAATACTATTATTGGTACATCTATAGACATTAAAAGAAAGCTTCAAAGTTCTCTCACAAATCATGATCAGCTGAAATATTTCACAAATATGAATTGACAAGGTGAAATATTCAATGCCTGACATTTCAAATTTGCTTTATTGTTGGCTTTATTGAGCTATCATCCTGTAACAGGAATAATTTTGTAAGCAAAACATCCTAGAACGGTACGCTTAAAGAAAAAATGTTGTCCAATGCTTGTGCGTCAACGCGAGTTAAAGGTTAAATAAGATAAACGTCCTCATAACATACCTCGAAGGAATATTCGCAGTCATCAAAACAATACAGCCTCAGAATAACGTCGTCCCCAAAGCTTGTCTCACTGCAGAAAGCTGCCACCTTCATTCGTTTGAAGGCTGGAAGGGAGATATTTTCTAACTTACCAGTCACCACGAAGGTTGAGAGGTGATTTGTTTTAAAACTTACGTAGTTGCTTTTAGGAATCAAGTTTCGAATTCCTTGCCCAGTTTGCCTAATAGTGACCCATACGTTATTCACCAGCTTTTTAAGCATGAAGTTCCACTTCGCATTTGAAAGAATCATATTTGCCCCATGTGGTATCTTAATCTCAAGCGGTTTTTCAATTGTACTACTTGTAATAAACGTTATTACAGGACTAAGTTGAATTTCATCCTTTTCAAGAAATCCAGGCTTGGTTGAGTGTGACGCGGCTTGTAAAGCTAATTGACTTGGTAAAGGTAGGTCATTCGATTCAGCAATGACTTCAACCCCTGTCTTCTCAAACAGTAAATGGCCGTGGTTTTGCTCCACAGGAAATTCTGACTCCACCTCTCTGGTATCTGCAAAGTGTATTTTTTTACAAATAAAAATGCATGAATGATATGGAGTGAATAGAGCTTATTAAAGATGCTAGCGTCACGGTAAACGATAGTGAAATACAACCGATTCCATATGCCCTATATGAACACTCAACATCTACTGGTTACCTCGTTGTTGGGTCAGGAGTGCGAGTATTTACTTAATCTTTTATGGCCTTTTCAAATTAAACGGGATACATCTTTCTCTTTTCGACATTTGTTGTTCAGCTACAGCAAACAACCTTTCGTTGTTAGGTTTGCCGACGTGGAAGGTTTAGTGCTTTTGTTTAGTTTCAACCCCTTCCCCCACCACAGCACAACTTTAAACTTTTCAGTTAAAACCTTATGTGAGAAATTTTAAGATCATCAAACTTACCTTGATAGGTATCCTCAGTGGTTCCTGGTTCATATTTTTGCTGTGGTGTCACATGCTCTGTTGTCTCATGGCTTGGATAAGAGCCACACTGAACTTTTGTAGCTAAATTATTTTTTCTTGGAAGGATGGAAGTATAGGCAAAATAAGAAATAAAAATGAACACCAAAAAACCTGCAACCAGAGTCCAGTTATTAAGACCCCAAGAGGACTTTACGAAATCTTTAACAGAGTCACACGGTTTCCTTTTCAGGTTGCTGCATACTTGGCTGCGAGGTAGTCCCTGACTAACACACTGTGGAACAACCTCATTTGTATCATCCAAGAAACAACAGCTTGAACAAGGGAGGCATTTCGAAATGGTCTTGTTGCGGTAGTAACCCCTAGGACAAGGTTTACAGCTGCAACGTGTATCAGAGACGTTGGTGCATTTTGCCACAATGGCCTCATCAGGAAGACATTTTGAGCACGGTTTACAACTTCCAAAAGAAAGCGAATCAGAATACTCTCCTGACTCACAGGCTTTACAGGTTACAGGAACGTTGTTTGGCATATTACCTCCACAGGGAACAGTTGCTCCCTGTCCTGGAGGACATTTCGGACACGGCACACAGATATGTTTACCATGTGAGAGTTTCATCAAAAGATGACCTTCACGGCAAACCATGAAGGTGGTCGTTGCTCGGATAACCTACAACAAAACATTTTTAATATCAGTTGAAGTGAGCTGAAACACGCTAAATTTTCCATCGCACACTATGAAAACATTTCAAAGAACGATATCAGCTACAAAAATCGATCAAGGAAAGCACCGATAACGACACTTTAAAGCCGAGGGGACCATAATCATAGATTACAAAGAAGACTGCTTTTAAGTCCCTCCCTTAGTTAAACACTAGTTTAGTGCTTGTTCGATCATTCGTCGCAAACTCACCAGACAACAGAGAGCAAAGACGGCGATCATTTCCGCGGTCCGTTTTTAACGGTAGCGTGAGGTCCACTGAATTGGCAAAATGAAAGAAATACTGATTCACGTGATCAAGAAGAAAGTGAGTTTTCACCAAATCACTCCCTTGAAAGTGTTGTTAGACGAAGAAATACTCTAACCCAAACCGACCAGAAAGAAGAATCGAGAAAGAATCGTCTTCCGGCTTGCCAAACAGTTTCGCTTTCTATTCAACTTTTGCTAATGTCTTATAGGGGGTTTCCCTTGCCCAGATGAGCCAATCAAATACTTCACTTAGTTTATTTCACCGTGTTTGATTGGATAGTTACTGATGACGATTTTTCGATAAGCCTTCGTATTTTATCATTCTTGTAGTATACTTCTTCCGTACAGTCGATTGTAGAGTTTCCGACTGGTTTTATTCAAACTGAATTATCTAACTAATCACCTACACCCTGTGAACAACACTATCTGAGTCAAAATGGAGCGTAAAGAGGTAAATGAAAGCGATTCCTTTTTTGGTTGGTTTTCTGTAAGTGGAAAACTATATACTAAGAAATCTGAGCTAAGAATCGAAATTTTTATTTCACTTTCGCTTTCAAATTTCACAAAGACGAGGAAAGATCATATATTATCCCCTTTCTTTTATCTGTAAGTGGCATCCAGATTTGCCATTGTAACGTGCAGGAGTAGAATGAAGACGGTTGAGTTTTAAAACCCCCCTTTTAGAGTGCAAGCTCTTGATTATCATCTGTTTGCTGTTTAGGTTAATTCCGAAAATACAAACAATGGCGTCGATAGAGAAGACGAAACCCGCGCACTTCAAGGCAACAGCCAAGAGGAATCTCCCCCAGAACATCAGTTCAGCCAGGCTCAAGTCGATGGTGAAAACGATTTTTGTAGTTGCGACAGGGCCAAAGTTGCCTTTAGTGACGGCGACGAACAAGAATTCCGATGTCCTCTATGCGGCAAAGTGATATCATTAGGACAGAGATCTGCCACAAGGGGCGGTCAGCAGATCACAGACTCGAGACCACCTCATTCTGCTGGAGGAACTGCAGAACCAGTGAATCTTTTGCTAGGCGAAGCATTTACTAATAGGCTTAACTTCCTTCCCAATAACGCCGACGAGATATCTTCCTCCCAAAGCAGCATTAATTCTTCAATGAGACGGAGCGTTGATTTGAATTCGACAGGATCACGACAAAAGCCCACTGTCTTGGAACAAGGAAAGATCCCTACTGAAGGTGAGTGCACTTTTTAGTGAACAGATAAGAAACAGAAGACTACCTGTAAACTCATATGTATTGTTGTTAGTGCCATGAAGCCAGAAATAAGTCATGCTTAAATGACATGCCGTTAAAAAGGAAATTTTGGAAAAAGAAATTGTCACATTAAATGGCTACATACAACATGAAACTACGGATAGTGCTTCGGTCAAACCCACGTATTCTGTCTTGTCAACATGAACACTACAAAGCTAAAGCGAAACTAAAAAAGAGGAAGGTTAGAGGGAATGTCAATAGGCAAGGGTTTTGAAAGTTTCTCTGAATATGTTTCACAACTGTCTCCTCTACAGGTGACTGCCACTATCCCGCTCAGATGCCACCCGTACCTACCTTCTGCAAGTTTTTCGTTACTGTGTGTCATCAGCCAGAAGCAAATGAACTGCTGGTTGCCTTTTATATAGTAACTATTAATAAATTTAAAGAGGTACGCTAAATATTCTTTGATTGTGTGCACGACATGTACGAACCTCGACGAAGCGGCATTTTTTTTGCATAGGTCATTTGCTTAAATTTGTATTAATCAGATTCATTACGGTAATGCAGTACATTTGTTTGGCTGGTTTTGGAAGTGGTCTCTAAAACTGATGCCACTGTAAGATCTTTAATTTGCAAACTGTGTTTGGAGCTGGATTTCGAGAATGAAGGAACGCTGCAAGAAAACTTCAGCTTCTTTAAATCTCTAATTCTATTCTGTTGTTCGTTGTCGAAAATTCCCCAAGGTATCGACAATTGTATTCACCATAACGGAAGTCGACCAGAGTCAGATCTAAAGAAGGTAACTTCTGTGGTTATGCAGGTTTATTGCGACAAAAGATAAAAACAACTCTCGTTGGAATGCATGTGCATTTAAAATATCTAAATAGAACCGGATACGGAATAGTGTTGAGCAAATTGTGTGACAAGAAAGTGGACATTGCTGTTAAAACTTAAAATGTATTACATCTTTTCAAATTTCCTCGTAGTTGACGTGAAAGTTTAAGCATGTCTCTTAACACTTTTCCTAGGTACCATTTGCAAGATGGCTTGAGGAGAATATGCCCTTTGTAGTTGCAACTGTTGACGAACTCCAAAGCCAAGAAGAAAACTGGCCATTTCATACGGAGAACATAAAAAACCATGTTGACGTGAATTTTCAACAGCTAAACGGGCAGTTCAGAATTCTAAATTTGGTACCCACTAAAAGAGTAAGTAAATAAAAGGTCTTAAAAGGTACTTATTGAGTTTGATTCTTGAGGTTGGCAAGGTTGTGTTTATGTAAATATCACAACTTGGGCTTGTCAAAGAGGCCCTTTTCTCGCTCTTAAAATTGTCCAAAACAAATCTTATGTGATATTTTTCAGGAGATTTTGTATCCCTGATTTGGAAATTGAGCGTTTGTTCGACTAATTAAATTAATAAATTACTCCCTGGTCATCCCTCCTGAATTTGAAATAGCAAATCTAAACAACAAAGTAAGCCACAATGTTGGCTTCTACCGCCACTTCTAGAGGGCAGGGGGGAGGGGGAGGGGGGAAGACACACTCGAAAAGCTATGTTATCCTTTGGGGTGGGTTGTTTTCCCTCCTATTCTATTTCTTAAATGCCTTTACCTTCCTCGCTTTCAGGTTTCTTTGACTCGTATAAAATCCTCAAACCAGTACAGGATACCAGGACCCATAGCTTCCGTTGTTGTGAAATGCCTTCCCGCAGAACCTGGAGAAATATTTATACCGGCACAGCGTCATCTGAGAATGACGTTAGTGTTCGATGGAAACAACATTCGCAAAATGCTTATTCCTCTGTGGGTAAGCTTAATGTGTTAGTTTTTCAAATTTAGTCTATAATATACAGTTCTATTCACGACTTTAATACTTTCACTCAGACGATCACATTCAATTTGTGACGTAAATCCTGGTTTTTAGTTACTATGCAAAAATAGTATCAAAAAATGTAATTTGAATTCGGGCACCAAATTCTTGTGACTGAACCCCTACCCCTGATACACAACTAATTTCTGTGTACACTTCAAATAAAATTTGTCTTCCAACGTTCTTAAAAGCTCTAGTCATCACCACAAGAAAGTGACTTATCTCTAATTCCTATTTCAGTGTCCCCGGCTAACAGACCAAACTTGATCATGATGGTGTGTCAACAGGTTAGTGGCAAGGGACTTGTCAGAAATTAGCAGGGGGGAGGGGGGAATTTTAAATTTGGGTTCGGAAATTAGGTGAGCCATCCCTGCAATGCGAGTGAAATTTGCTAACCCTCCACTTGAGCTTGACCTAAAATATCATGACCCTCCCCATCTTACAGAATTGAAAGAAAAATGTTCCAGGATCTTTAAGGGGCAGTATTCCAAGCCAACAAGTAAAAAAGGAAACAAAAACAAATTAAAAAGAAAGCAAAAAAAGCTAGGGCAAAAAGAATAGAAGTTAACTGCAAAAGAGGTATTGAAACCATTGCACCCCAGCAAGAATCGCATGATGTTACAGAGCCTATTGGGCCATTATCTCTTCATTATGCAGGAATAAGTGGGCTTCTCAAAACGCAAAGGCCATATACCCAATACGCCTTTGAGAAGGGATTGTTCACCAATGAATCACAGGAAATTATCAAACAATATCTACGCTTCAACTTACATGAAAATCATGATTATGATGAAAGTGATTGTATCAATGCTGATGACATAAATGATGATGATCAAGATGCTCACACCAGCATTGATGGTGATCCTGAAGATAGTGATGAAAAGGATAGCCAAAACTCTAATAACATTAATAACAACATTATTCATAATAAAAATGCAATAAGACTCTATACCATTGTTATAAATGAAAAGTAGACGTTTGTTAAATTCCTGCAATAGTACTTCACAGTTTATATCCATAATGTTCCGTTGTTCTTTTTTCTTTCTTTTTTTTTTGTACCAAATAAAGAACTTCCATTTTCTTCTGTGGGTGAACCTCTACATGATCGCGGACATATATTTGCATGACCATCCCCCTTTTAGCGACCTATTTTTCATGACCCCTCCCTTTTCTGAGTCTCAAAAAGTTGTGACTCTCCCTCTGTTTCCACCCCCTCCCCCCTGCTAATTTCTGACAAGTGTCTAAATGTCTTTTTCTTAAAAGGTCTCCCATGAATGTCATGTAAGATGGGTTTAATCCTTTGGCAATGGCAATAGTCTTTCTGTTTTATTATCAAAAATGCCTAAACAAATATTTCGAGTGTTTAAAACGCTCAAGGGAAAATAAGGCCTGTTGTTGTTAGCCAAGCTGTTGCGATTATTCAGTGGATTTTATACAGTTTCACTCATCCTTGTTTTGAATTGTCTCCTTTTTTCCTCAGTTACAAATAGGACTTCTTACCTGAAGACACATTGTCGTGGAAAGAATAGTTTAGATAATTGGGTAATTTTGATTGTTAGTGAGGCATCGCACGCAATACAGGGTGTATCAAAAGTTCTTTCCGAGTTTTT